TTTTTGTTAATTTTCCCGTTTTTTCCCATCTTTGGTGTAAATTTTCCCATTTTCCCTGTTTTTTCCCCCAATCCAGCTGCTCTTCTCTCACCGCTCTCGCCGTTGATTTTCTGTTGAATTTTCCCCAATTTTGGTTAATTTTACCCCATTTTTTCCCCATTTTTTTTGTTAATTTTCCCATTTTTTCCCATTTTTTTGGTTAATTTTCCCGTTTTTTCCCATTTTTTTCCGTTTTCCCCGTTTTTTCCCCCAATCCAGCTCCTGTTCTCTCACCGCTCTCACCGTTGATTTTCTGTTCATTTTTCCCCATTTTGGGTCATTTCACCCCGTTTTTTTCTAGTTTTTTCCCGTTTTTCCCCATTTTTTTGTTAATTTTCCCATTTTTTCCCATTTTTTTGGTTAATTTTCCCGTTTTTTCCCATTTTTTTCCGTTTTCCCCGTTTTTTCCCCCAATCCAGCTCCTGTTCTCTCACCGCTCTCACCGTTGATTTTCTGTTCATTTTTCCCCATTTTGGGTCATTTCACCCCGTTTTTTTCTAGTTTTTTCCCGTTTTTCCCCATTTTTTTGTTAATTTTCCCGTTTTTTCCCATTTTTTTGGTTAATTTTCCCGTTTTTTCCCATTTTTTCCCATTTTCCCCCTTTTTTCCCCCAATCCAGATGCTCTTCTCTCACCGCTCTCGCCGTTGATTTTCTGTTGATTTTTCCCCCATTTCTTCCCATTTTCCCCCTTTTTTTCCCCATTTTTTGGTTAATTTTCCCGTTTTTTTCCATTTTTGGTGTTAATTTTCCCATTTTCCCCGTTTTTTCCCCCAATCCAGCTGCTCTTCTCTCGCCGCTCTCGCCGTTGATTTTGTGTTGATTTTTTCCCAATTTTGTTTAATTTTACCCCGTTTTTTCCCCTTTTTTTTGTGTAATTTTCCCGTTTTTCCCCGTTTTTTCCCCATTTTTTTGTGTAATTTTCCCATTTTTTCCCATTTTCCCCATTTTTTCCCCCATTTCCAGCTCCTGTTCTCTCACCGCTCTCGCCGTTGATTTTCTGTTGATTTTTTCCCAATTTTGGGTCATTTTTCCCCATTTTTTTCCCCTTTTTTCCCCTTTTTTTTGTTAATTTTCCCCTTTTTTCCCATTTTTTCCCATTTTGCCCTGTTTTTCCCCCATTCCAGCTGCTCTTCTCTCACCGCTCTCGCCGTTGATTTTGTGTTGATTTTCCCCCAATTTTGGGTCATTTTACCCCGTTTTTTTCCCGTTTTTTCCCCATTTTTTTGTGTAATTTTCCCATTTTTTCCCGTTTTCCCCGTTTTTTCCCCCAATCCAGCTGCTCTTCTCTCACCGCTCTCACCGTTGATTTTCTGTTGATTTTTACCCCATTTTTTCCCGTTTTTTCCCCATTTTTTGTGTAATTTTCCCGTTTTTTTACAATTTTTTGTGTTAATTTTCCCATTTTCCCCGTTTTTTCCCCCAATCCAGCTGCTCTTCTCTCACCACTCTCGCCGTTGATTTTCTGTTGTTTTTTCCCCAATTTTGGGTGTTTTTTTCTCAATTTTTGGTGGTTTTTTCCCCCATTTTGGGTAATTTTACCCCGTTTTTTCCCATTTTTGGTGTTAATTTTCCCATTTCCCCCGTTTTTTCCCCCATTCCAGCTGCTCTTCTCTCACCGCTCTCGCCGTTGATTTTCTGTTGATTTTCCCCCATTTTTTTCCATTTTCCCCCGTTTTTTCCCCATTTTTTGGTTAATTTTCCCGTTTTTTCCCATTTTTGGTGTTAATTTTCCCTTTTTTTCCCGTTTTTCCCCCAATCCAGCTGCTCTTCTCTCACCGCTCTCGCCGTTGATTTTCTGTTGTTTTTTCCCCAATTTTGGGTGGTTTTTTCTCAATTTTTGGTGTTTTTTTCCCCCATTTTGGGTCATTTTACCCCGTTTTTTCCCATTTTTGGTGTTAATTTTCCCATTTTCACCCATTTTTCCCCCATTTCCAGCTGCTCTTCTCTCACCGCTCTCGCCGTTGATTTTCTGTTGATTTTCCCCCAATTTTGGTTAATTTTACCCCGTTTTTTTCCCGTTTTTTCCCATTTTTTCCCGTTTTTCCCCCATTCCAGCTCCTGTTCTCTCACCGCTCTCACCATTGATTTTCTGTTGTTTTTTCCGCCATTTTGTTTAATTTTCCCCCGTTTTTTTCCCATTTTTTTCCCGTTTTTTTGTTAATTTTCCCATTTTTTCCCATTTTTTCCCATTTTCCCCCTTTTTTCCCCCAATCCAGATGCTCTTCTCTCACCGCTCTCGCCGTTGATTTTCTGTTGATTTT